TTTGGCATGACCAGATAAATAGTCAGTGGACAAGATCTATTTTAATCCAAATGGAAATCCATGAAAAGATGGAATGAAATGGAAAGGCAGCCAGCCGGCCGTCCAGGGTCTGGCCCCACCCTCGCTGTCCCTGACTTTTGGATGAACCTCACATAAGGCCATCCTCATGCATAAAAGGGATTCAAACACCAGCCTCAGCCATCTCTCCCGTGTCACTGAGCAAGTCAAACAAAATGGTGTTGTATGTTAAAATTCTTTGGGACACTTGAACAATGTACAAAATATAATTGTTATTTTTATTGGAAGTTACTCTTTTCTTCATCAGTAAGGAAATCTCTCTTTAGGGTTCTTTTTCCTTGACCTTGGTAATATTTCTCCATGAAGTTCTAGCTTGTATTACACATATACAGAGACAGAGAGAGAGACAGACAGACAGACAGACAGACAGACAGACAGAGTTTTCTGAGCGTGTTTAACCCAGTGAATCTATTAGCACAGACCATTTCTCCTGAAATCATTATCATTGCCTCAAGAGTCATGGAAATGTTACCTGTCCTTCTTTATCTGTTGCAAAATTTAGGGACAAGGAAGAAGACCATATATGTTTTCTTAAAATCAATGACCAGCACATTACTGTAAAACCTATTGATTAAAAACACAAAGTATAATGTTAGTCATTTAGTCTGTGAAGTGATGCAATAAGGGAAGAAATTTATCCTTTGACTTTTGCATTAACCTTTTATTGACTGCTTGCATACCCATAATTAACACACACTTTAGCTAAAGTGGTTAATTTTAGCATGGCGACCAGTGTCCACTAATGTGGCTGCAATCTTGATCATCCAAATGTAAGTGCAGCCCTGGGGGAAATCAGTGGGCAGAGAGGCCCTGTATGAGTTACACCTTGGGGTGGAGGCTGGTGGGACCTCTGGACAATCTGCTAACAGACCAGCCAGGCTGACACCTCTCAGTCACTTCCCATTCTGTCACTAGGTTATTCAAGGAGAACCAGTCCTAAGTAGTAAACATTTTCAGGGGAGGTTGATGGAGTCCTTTGAATTGAAATAATACACATTTGGAAAGGAAGTACTTCATGAAAGGGACAGCATTTCCCAATTAGATCCAGGTTTATTGGCTAATCCTAGAAGCATCCAAAACTTCAGGTTTCTCTTTAGAATAGTAATGAAGACAAGGTGAAAAGGGGAAGCTGTAACTTCTTTACTGTTTAGCTGGGATCAGTAAGGCTGGAGAATGATGTCAAGTCAGGGACTCTTCAACACTTTTTAGAAAGAGCCCTTAGCTGGATATGAAAACAGGTTTATTTCCTCCAAAGGCCACTGAGGGTGACATTGGCATTCCCTTGGCCTTTCAATTAACTCCAAATACAATTTTTTTTTAAATCATTTTTTTTAATTATTTATTTTTATTTATTGTGTGTGTGTGTGTGGCCAGCTCAGCCCACCAGGGGGCGGGCTGGCTGGCATGTGGTGCTGGGGGATCGAACCGCAGTCCCTGTGCTTTGCCAAGCTTGTTTCAAGTAGGTGCTTTAGACCACTGAGCCATCTCTCCAGCCCCCCAAATACAATTTGAACTGAAGACAAAGGCCAGTGTTTTCTTGCTCAGAATCAGGTATTCTTCACATATTACACTGGGCAGTGCACCAGATGTATGGCAGGGCCATGGCCATGGGTGTTATTAAAATAATGGAGAGATAAGAGGCATGACAGGCATATCAACTAGGATTCTTCAGGTTGTGAGTGACAGAAAAGCCTAACTCAGGCAATAAGGCCTGATACAGCTGTTCTGCTGTGTCATCCAGACCCCTGCCCCTGCATGGTAGAAACAATGACTGTGGCTTGAAAAGAGGGATATTCTTAGCTTCTGCCAGGCCTGGCTTTCCCCTGGCCTTAGATGTGGATCCCGACTACATGGCTAAGCATGGATCTCCCACAGGAAAGCTGGAATCCTACTGGAGGGTATGGAGGGGAAAAATACAAGACAACAAATTCCTACTGCAGTCAACGTGAGGCTCTTGGTGACCTTCTAAAATAGCATCAATAGGATGATCATCTACCTCAAGTGACTTTGGATCATGAAACTAGGATGACCCTGGGTGGGTAGCACTGGACAAAGGAGTGACTCACATGCTATTTATGACAAAACTGGATGGCACAAGAGCTCATTGTACCACTCAAAACAGCACACAATTTAAAACTGGCATAGTGTTTACTCCTAAAATTTTCCATTCAATATTTTCAGACCATGTTTGGTTATGGATAACTAAAAACATAAAACCATGAAATAAGGGGATCTACTGTACTATGGGCATCATCATTATTATTATACCTGCTTGATAGACAAGAAGCAAAAGCTCTATAAGGTAAAAAAAAAAATCTTTCCCTAGATGTCTTGTCCTTCCAGGATTCCAGAGAACACACAGCCTATAATCGATCTAGTTTCCCATGTCAGGTCATTGCGATCCAAGAAGATAGAACAAGTGGTTTGACAGGTGAAACCAAAACCTAAAGAGAGTCCTTCCTTCATGTCATCCTCAACCTTTTCTTGTGCCGGTCCACAGTGTTCCATGATTCTGAACTAGATAGCATCGTCCAAATTGGGCTATATGTGCTTTCCCATAAGTAAATAAATAAATCACCTCAAACAGTGAGCCCTCTGCTGGACCCTTTCACTGCCATTAGGAAATTGGCACACTGGGCATTAAAGGAAAAACTTTAAAAGAATTGTGAAATTACCCTGAAGAAAACCAACAAAGGGTTTCCATTCCAGCCCAGATGGAGGCAGAAAGATGTACAGCCAGGGCCTACATGGGTGGAGGCAGCCCACACCCCAGCCACCCTTTTATGCAAAGAATGGGGTACACAGCGGGGGAACGGCTTTTCCCAAAGCAAAGCCAGTAGCTTTGGGAAGGCTGTGCAACATGGCACAAGCACACCTCTGCTGCAGGTTTTGATATTTTAAATACTTTCTCAAAGTGAGGAGGCAAAACCATTTGACAGGTGAAAAAGCACCTCTATTGACTTTTTGCACACCTTATGATATTCTAGGTGGATCGACACTTATCATAGCCCTTTAATCTGCCAAGCAGGATAATGTGTGCACGGATAATTTATCCACTGTGAGATTGAAATGCTCAATTTGGAATAATTTTCCCTAGCAGTAAATTGAGCATCACTCTACAGTTCTGAGGCAGAGAGAAAGCACAGTTTAAAAAGCTTTGCATAGTTCTTTTGTAATTAGTTGCAGCTTCTCTTGAATATTAATTTCCCCTTCATCTCTTTCAAGTGATTTAGAGACTGTCACAAGAACCATGGAGATGCGTCCTGAGCCAGGCCGGCACCCGATGTGGTCCCCAACACCTATTGGAAGTAGTCTGCAGAACTCGCCCTCTGTCCCTGAGTGCGTGCGTGCTTATCAGCACAAACAGTTTAATATTTATGCTAAGAGGATTGTCAGAAGCAGCTTCTGTTGCTTTAATTCTTGTTTTAAATAAATAATGAGAACATTTAAACACATTACTCTTCTTGAGGCCCCGAGGTCAGCTAATCTTATTATTTATGAAGTGATGTGCTACATAATAGTACTTAGTGCATGTTAACAGACGCTATTATCAGGGCCTGATGCGGCGAGCTGAAGATATATTGGAATGTTCTGTGTAATGTACGATGGATTGAGTGCAGAGGATGCCGGTATAGCAATTAACCACATGTGAAAATAGGTGTAAAGTTGAAGTATGTTTTCCCCTGAGGATCCCCTCACCATTAATAATTCCCCAGAGAAGGTGATGTCTTTTAGTTTGGAACCTTCCGTACCATCAGACTTGAGTGAGGCTAGGCCATCCCATTCTTTGATCCCTTCGTAGTCATTCCTATACAGTCACAGGATGAAGAGTGGTTAGGACCACTTTTTAGTTGACTCAGAGCAAGATTCAGAAAAGGCCAGGGGCGGGGCAGCTCCGTGGCCCCTCCTAGTGTGGTTGTGGCGTTGGGTTTGGGTAGACACACTTACACACTTGGACTGCCCTGTGCTCTCTCCCAGAGAGTAAAGAAATTATTCATTCCTTGTTGCAATTTGTTTCCTTTTTGCCAGTTCTCATTGTTAAGATAAATAAAGCTAAAACCACTGAACTTTCCCAGTTCAATTTTAAGCTAGACTCTGAGAGGTAGATTCTGCCAAGGTATGATCTGTTTTCCCAACTTTTTTCCTATGAGGCTGTAATTTAGCTGTGTATGATAATTAATTTTTCTACTATTGATGAATAATCCATTTAATAAAAACCATGATTTAAGTGTTTTCCTTAGGGACTAACTCCTACTAGCCTCTTAATTTAATTTTGTGGAAGTTTCCCCCACCTATTCATCAGCGGAAATGATTATTAACCTCTATTTGCATATATCCTTATAAACCGGGCTCTCCTTGGAGTGCCTTTTCCTGAGCACAGCAAGCTGGGACACTTGTAAATCTCCAGGATCTCCAAAGTCAATCCCAGTCTGTAATATTGTTTAATCTATTCTTGGACGTTTTAATGCAGTAAATTCAATTTAATCTTTCCCAGTAATCTAGTAATACATCGAAATCCCACAAACATTTAAATCTGATAATGGCTTAATCACACACTTTAAATAACAGTTGAGATAATGAAAAAAATAATTCACCATTTTAAAGGCAGAGTAACTGAATTTCCCTGATGATTGGCTTTTTTGAAGTCACTTGAGATAATATAAACCTGGGAATTGAAAAGAAAGAAAGAAAGAAAAAAAAAAAAAAAAAAAAAAAAACCTCCCAGCACGATAAGGAGCAGTTCTTCCTTCTTACAAACCTCTGCTTTCTTCCTTGCACTGGCTCTTCCCGTTGTCATCATGACCTTCAACAGAGAAGGCTATTTGGGAAGCATTTTTCAGTGCTGGTCTTTATGTTTTCCATGAGCTTGGCTCTTCTAGACATTTCCCCAGTGGATTAATTGCCTGTTCTTATGCTTGCAGATGCCAGACCCGAATTGCCCGATCTTTGCCATGGGATCAGAAACCAGAGTGTCAGCCCTACTGGGAGCAGGATGATCCCTCGATGCCTCTGCCCTTCGATCTCACAGATGTTGTTTCAGAACTCGGAGGTCAGCTTCTGGAAACAGAACCCCAAAAGGAGCGCAAGTCTTAGGTGGAGAGGGAAAGCCCTCTGGCTCTTTTTTCTCCATTCTCTCCATGGGCTTGGCCTAGGGCACTGTAGACTTCAGTTAGCCCTTAGCTTGTACCTGGGTCCCAGGTCAAAACAGCTCGGGTATGGTGCCCACGAGTATTAAAAGTTGAAAGATGACACAGTGTTGTAGTCTGATTTAGGAACTCTCCCCACAAATGTTACCCGCTCAAAGTAATTCATGGAAGCCCTTCAGCCTCCAGGGGCCCAGCCTAGGAGAAAGCCTCACTTCTTTGCCCTCACATCAGCCTCCTCAGAGGCAGAGTGGACCCAGTAATGGGTATGGCAGAGCTTGGAGGTATTGTCCCAGCTCCCACTGTGTCTTGCAGGACCTCTGGCAACCGATGTGGTGTCCCCAGCTAGCTGTGGCTACTCTAATTGAAATCCAATTTTAATTTTAATTAAAAGTTCGTTTCCTCACATAACCTGACCTCATTCAAGTGTTTAACAGCCACACGTGGCCAGTAACTACTCCAGTGGACAGTGCAGCTGGGGGACATGATTGTCATTAGAAAGTCCTCTCAGATGAGATGTCTCTTAAAAAGTTGGAGAGCAGACATTCCCTTTTCCATAGCTGCTGCTGTTCCCATAAGGGAAGGTGATTAGAGCAGTGACTTCCTGAAGAGAAGTAGCCTCTTTCCCTTCTCGGATGGAGCTCAGTAGAAGCCTGCCCTGGGTACCTTGCGCCCAGGAATGGGGAGGTGCTAACAAAACAGCTGATAGCCTGCCTGCAAGGAGTGTCCCTAATCTAGTGATAGGGACAGAGCCCTCACCCAGCTTATACTACTGCCAGCATGGGACAGCTCTTCTGTAATTCCCCCCTTAGAGAATGACAGGTGGCAATGAGGTTGGAAGAGCCCCAGTGCCCCTTTCCGATGACACAGGAGCCAGGAAGTCCATGCAGAGTGGAGACAGAAGCAAGGCTCCAGTTTCTGAGTGCCTGGCCTGGGATGCCTAGGAACCATGTGATCTTAGCAAGTTACTGTGCCTCAGTTTCCTCGTCAGTGTGCTAAAGGAAGCACTCCCCTCGATGAAGATGAAGTGATTCAGCTGCATACTTAGGATACTTTCTGGCCCAGAGTTTAGTCACCAGTGAATCAGGCACTTCTGTGTGCCAGTACTGAGCTGGAAGTGGACACGTTGCCCTTCCTCCCCGCCTATACTGGTTTGTCTCATGATACCGTTACTCTCGCTGTCTGCTTCTGCCATTTGGTGTCCCCAGGATGTGTGAGAATCCTTAGCCCCTGTTCTCAGCCCACTGCCTTCTCTCGTCATTGGTGAGAAGCTGGGACTTTTGTGTGGAGACACACACCTGGTGCACTCTTTTCTGCCATCAGAGTATCACTGGCTGCAGGAAAGTCAAGTTCACAACGTGGTTAGGTTTTATTCTGCTGAGACTCAAGTTTCTCAGGCCTTAAATTTTTCTTTCATGTCTCCGAGCCTCAGTTTCCTCATCAGTGAAGGAGACAAGACACACTACCTCTCAGGGTATGGCCAGGTTAAATAAAATAATGCAGGTAAGGGCAGTGTGGCATACAGAAGTCACAGGGTGGGCCTCCTACCCTGGGCCATGCAGCCCTGAATTCTATTTGGCTTCCACAGTGTTTGTTCTTTGTTGTATTTTTCACATCAAATTTAAATGTCTCTATTCTCTTTAGAACTCAGAACAGCCAGTGGTCCCAGACCTCCGACCTAGCACAGCAACATGCTAAGCACTGTCTTCCGGCTCAGAAGCAGGCTGTGGTCCTCAACAGTTTGCAGCAGACCCCATGGCTGCCCATTACCACCTACCACGGACCTGACCTGTGTTGCATCTCCTCTTGGGAGCTTTCCAGACCTTGCACCCTGTAGGAGAAATGAGTAGTGTTTAGTGCTCACCCCAATCTTCGTGTATCCTTGCTGAACTGTACTGTGAACTGCTTGTACAAATGCCATTTGTATCATTAAACATTCGGATAAAATAAAGATGTTAAGGACAGGAAACCAAGCGTGATTCTGAATTTTCCTCCTTGCATGTCACGAGTGGACCTGCTTTGCTGGTATGGACGGGGCTCAGGTAGATGGAGGGAATTTTCACATACAGCCAGCTGGTGGACAGTGGAACTGGAGAAGTCTCTCGCTTAAAAGAAACGGAGAGATGAGGTCACATTTTTCAGAAGAAATGGTGGCTTTTGGTGATCATGAATTCAGTGTGCCTGAAGGTCACATGCTCCCTGGGGAGGCTTCATGTGCCTAGGAGGACGGAAGGCAGGAGACACCAAAAGGCAGCTGACCGCCAGCTCATGGGCTACAGGCCACAGGAAGACCTGGTTCCCCTAGTGAGCTGGGCAGGACTCTCCTGGGAACACGGGCCCAGAGGCCGCCAACAGCTGTTGGGATGAGTACAGAAGAGGAGAGGGGAAGACCGCCCTGAACTACATTTTGTCATCTCTAACCCCTGCCTGCTTTTGTGCAGGCTGCTCTGGTCATCGGGTCCCTGCTATCTTGAGAAAAGTGATCTGAGAGATCCTTTGGTACCTAGGTACAACTGACCTTCCTTTAGCACTGTGGTGACCCCTGGGATCTAGGGACAAATCTCTGCCTTCCAGGGGCTCCCAGGCTCCTGTAGGGCCAGGGATATGTACTGGTAGCAGTAGGAATTTAATGCTGTAGGCAATAGACAAGCTGTAAGCCAGCAAATAAAGGGGAAGATCATTCCAGAAAGTCCCTAGGTGCTGGGCTGGAAGTTAGAGGAATTAGTGTGTGTGCCAAATAGCTGAGGAAGGGCGGTAGGCCAGCCAGGTAAACGGTAGGAAATGAGTTGGTAAGTTTTCAGAGTGGACACCTAGTGCAGAGGCCCTGGGGCACGGAAGTGCTCAAGGAAGCAAAGGAGCCATGATGGCTCAGGAGGAGAGAGTAAGGAGGAGCCCTGGGAGGCAGCTGGAGAGCAGAGCAGAGTAAGCAGTGTTTAGGTTCTCCTTCACCAACTGTAGGACTCAGGCTGTACACAGGGAAAGCACGGAGAACTGAAGCATGTTTTTAAGCTTTTGGCCATTGTCCTGGCTACTACCTAAGGAAGTGGAGGACTTGATCCAAAGGAGCCCCTATCCGACAGGGGACCCCACACCCCTCTGTGTTTGCAGAATTCATGCTGAGCGGCACCTACCCGCCACGCCACATCTACTCCTCGCTCTCACCAGCACCCTGCAGCTCGGGAGACCTTTCCAGACAGCAAAGAGCAGGATCATGGCATCATGTGCGACACAATTTTAGTAATAAGCTTCTAAATCCATCACTCACTGAATCGAGGGATGCTAGATATGAGATTCCATAGGCTCTGCTTAATGGATGCCCCGTACTCGGTGGAAGAGTGTGATGTTTCCAGGGCAGGTATTTTCAAATGCAGCTAGCTAGCTAGCTAGCTATTTATTTATTTATTTATTTATTTATTTATTTATTTATTTATTTATTTTGCTCTAGTTAAGGCTGATTTTACCACGGGGCAAATTGCATACATTTGGATCTGTGCCATGCTAAATACTGTTTGTTTTGGAGATCTGTCAGAGGCAAGCACATGAAGACAAGGGGATTCTGATTTGAAAAGGCAATTTTCATTCAGACAGATCCAGTTGGAGTGAAGCAGTGTGGATTAAAATGTGCTGAAGTGGTAATGCCGTTTATCCAGTTTGCCTTTGTTACTTTGTGATTAAATGGTATTTTTAATTAAGTTTCATTGGGAGCCATAGGTATCGCAGTGGTGAAATCAATTTGACAACCATAAAGGGGGCGGGAAGGCACAGGCATGCTATAATGACTGCAGCGGTGGGGAAGCTCGAACCTTTCAGGAGACAGGGCAGAAGAGCCCACTGATAAAGACTCCCTGGAAGGCGATAAGGGCGGCTGGGCTGTGGCTGCATTTGGGAAGCAAGTGTCAGTGGTTGTCGGAGAAAGGAGGACATGCTGGCTACCTGAGACAGACCTCCAGGAAAGGGCCAAGGACTGGCTTCTTATTTTTGGCTTATGAACAAGAAGGCAAGATCAGGCATGGCCACCACCATCACCATACTGTCCCCCCATTCTCAGTTTCCTTCCCCCTCACTTGGTATAAGAGTAGTCCTCTGATATTTGGCCTAAATCATTTTGTAATAAAAACGAGTCCCCTTTGCACCTGCGCAATCTGTGTTGTTAAGCTCCATCAGATTTCTCAAACCTGATTCCTGGGTAACAGCAGAGGCTTCTGGCCGTGGACTTCCTGGGTTGTCCTGGCTCTCTGCGTGACTCTATGGCAACCACTCCTTCAAACCTCATTGTTCTGTGTTAGTGTGTGTGTCTGTGTAACTAAACCCAGGGCCTTCACCCAGAGCTACATCCTCAGCCATGCCACCCCCCTTTAATTTTTTTGTTATTATTTTATTTTATTTTTATTTTTTGGTGGAACCGGGGATTGAACTCAGACCCTTGTGCTTGCCAGGGAGGTGCTTATTCTACTGAACCATTTCCCCAGCCTATTTATTTATTTATTTATTTATTTTTATCCCTCTTTAAATTTTGAAGCAGGGTCTCATGAAGTTGCCCAGACTAGGCTCAAACTTGGAATCCTCCTGCCTCTGTAGAAAATTGTTTACGTAGCCTGAGTAATGTAATTGTCACCTAAGAAAGCCACTGTTTCTTCTCAGAGTCATGCATACTCTCACCTAAGGTGCTTGTGGAGATCCTCTCTCCCCCACAATCATGCATGTGAAGTGATTCATGTCATGGCTGGTAGTTTGCCATCAATACATATAAATGTTTATTCTGATCAGTGATATCTCAATGGAAATACCAGATAGGCACCAAAAAAGAGACTACAGATAGCTGTGGTTGGGAAGAATAACATGTTACCAGCATATATTATCCCCTTTGCTCTTCACAGCTTCTGGCTTTTTCCTAGGAAGATGGCCTGGGACTTTTTATAAATAAGATACTATGAAAAATTGCTCCTTAGTACTCCCATTAGAACAGCAGGATTAGGTCACCGTTTGCTATTTTAGATTTGCTTAAAAAATTCTTGTCATCACCTTCTAATGGATGACCTGTGTACAACAATTGTTTATTGACTCTGAATGTCTGAGTAGTAGGGCCAGTCTATTTCGGGTGGGGTGGGGAGGGGGCAGGAAGCATTAATTAACTTCCAGCGTTAGATTCAGTGATTCCTTTCCAATGGTGCAGTTCATGACTTTGTTTGCATTTACTTTTCATCAAGTCCTGGAAGAATCGAGGTAAAATAGCTCCTCTGCACATGTGTGTCAGGCTAAATGGATCACAGCAGATACAGATCTGTTTGCCTGTCTGCACTTGGCTTTAGACAAAATTCATCAATTCTATAAAAGCCACCGGCTGAACATGACACTAATACAAAGGAAGTGCTTGGGGCCCTCGGGTTTTCCCTTTGTTTCTGACCTGTAAGTGCAGTGACTCCCTGCTGAGAGATAGGAAGTGTTGGTCTGGGACCCTGTGTCTTTGAGGACCCTGTGCCCTCAGAGCACTTCTACCCTTTTGGTTGGTAGCTGGGCACACAGCTCCTCTCCACGGTCTTGCCTAGTGCTAACGATCAAATGAAGACCACAGATGATCGCTGCCTTGCTGGTGCCAGTTTTGAGGGTATCCTGCTCACTTTTCTGAGCTGCTGGGACATGGAGAAAGAAGGGTTTGAAAGCTGGTGACTCTGCAGAGGGGAAACCCTTCGGCACAGTGCCCTCTGCACCTTTCCCAAAAAGGACAGCGATAGGCGGTGTAGACCCCCAAATAAGTCCTACATTGGTCCAAGGGAGAGGGAGTATAGTGAATAAACACAGTGGAAGTGGTTTGAGTTTCATAGATATTGGGACAATCTCTGCATGCTTATTTTTGATGAGGCAAGGTGGGTCTGATCCAGAAGCAGCGTGGAGCTACTCCTGAGGCTGCAAGAGGCAGCCGGAGCGCCTCTTGTAGAGGAACAGTCACAGTGAATGATGTGAAGGTCTCCTCTTCCATTTTTAAGATTCCATGCACCCCCGTGGAAAACGTCAGACCTAAGCAGAGGTCTGCCCAGACCGTCGTGATTGAAAGCCTCACACAGGTGACCACGCTGTTCTTTGCCTCTTTGTGAAACAACTGCCTCCTACTGAACAACGCAGCTTTCCTTTCAAATGAGCGATTCAGTTTTTCACTTTGGAGCAAGCGTAGTTAACCTACCAACCCCAGAGCCCCACAGGGGATGAATCAGTTTCTCAGAGCAGTGAAAGCTACCGCTGGTAACTCATCCTACACAGAAAACTGGACCTCTGCTTACCCTCCTTCCCCTTGGCCCCCCGACTCCTCAGACAGAGATTTCCACTTGATTACGCCTTGATTAGAGCCGGGAAGGAGGCAGGCCAGGTATATAGGATTCCCATTGTTCTCCCGCCTCTGCTCCCAAGCAGGGTCAGGCTGAGAGGGATCCCAGTGAACGTGAACAATCAAGCCCTGTTTACCATGGAAGTTTAGTTTTCTTTTCTGAAAATCAAAACAGAGTTTAGTAGGCAGCGGATATCATACATGCCCCTTGATCAATGGAATGATCTGTCAGAAGCCATTAAAGCCCCCATTAGCCTGAATCCACTCAAAGCTGAACTATTGGATCATTTAAGGGCCACAGTGATTGTTTTTAATATACTGTACATTGATTTCTCCCCATAAGCAGCAACCTAAGTTTGAAACTAACTGTGTATGACTGAGGTTCCGCTCGCTGTCTCCAACCCTCGGTGAGAAGCATGGTTTCACTTCGAGCAGAAATGTCTGTGTGTAGTTTTCAAAGGGGGGCAGACCCTGTTAGATTTCCCAAGGTTTAGACTGAGTTGAGTTGTTATGTTTTCTTTTTTCCCTGAGCTTTCTCCCGTTTCTCTGTGCCCATTAAGTGAGTTGGGCGTGCAGAATGGGAGTGGCACCACTGCCAAGGACCTCAACTGAAAGGCACTGGGGGAAATTTTTCTGAAAGCATGA